CAGCTAGACTGGTGCATCCTAAATTTAACACAAATTAATAATTTTAATACAACATAGTCATTTCTGCAATTTTTTGGGGGGAGGTCACCTCCTACTAAATGTCATTACTTTACTTTTAATACTTAAGCACAAAAAATATCAGATACTGTAAGATTTTTACTCAAGTAATATTCCTAAAGGAGAATTTAACTTTTACCAAAGTATTTCTTTTTGGTAAGTTACTTGTACTTTTACTCAAGTAAAATACAACAATGTCTGTCAAATTCAGAATATAATTTAAAATATTACTCCTAACATACAAAGCTCCACCATATATTAAACATCTTATTGTTCCATACTTTCCTAACAGAGCACTTCGCTCTCAGACTGCAGGTTTACTTGTGGTTCCTGGAGTTTCTAAAAGTAGAATGGGAGGCAGAGCTTTCAGTTATCAAGCTCCTCTCTTGTAGAACCATCTTCCTGTAAGGCTGACACTCTGCCTACTTTTAATTTTAATCTAAAAACTAGCAAAATAAGTTTTTCGTATTCTTATTAAGTTTTGCCTTATTTGTTTTTCTAAAACTCAACACAACTTACTTTCACACGAGATGCAACGGGCTCTGCTTCTAAATCTTTTTCAGGTTTACTCACACTTTCCACTTCACAGCACGGCAGTGAAAACAAGCAGGGCTTTGTCCTCAGCGCTGTGACGACACCTCACTGCTATTTGTGTGTCAATTTAACTAACGCTCTGTTAATAATCTGCCTCTTCGACTTAGTTTTTCAATTATTTCTCCGTTTTCTGTGAATCYCACGACATGGCATTCAAACAGAATGATGTCTCTTCTTACCTTCTTGCGACACCTCAGACCACTCTGGAGTAGGGAACTCGTACTGGCCCATCCGGATCCTCCTCTTCATTCCAGGAGAAATGGCCTGACCGGTGTTGGAGTAAAAAGGGGGGAAGCCACACAACCTGCAGATTTGAACGCTTAAGTTGGACCTTGATCTGCTTTTTGTTATGTCTTTAAACATTCATCACATTTCTCACTCAGCTGTGCTCAGAACTCACAGAATGTACAGGATGACACCCAGAGACCACATGTCACAGGACTTGTCGTACTTCTCTGGACCCAAAACCTCAGGAGCTTAACAGACAGAGAAAAAAACAAAACACACGTGAAGATTAGATAGATAAAGACCTCAACAATTATACAGGGTGAGTCAAAAGGCACAGGACATCCTTTATTTCAGAAAGGGAAACTAACRTATCTGAATATCCCAATAAGTAATGGGTGAGGGGGACCTATCCTTRGAAAATCTTGCCCTACATCCACTATGGCAGTTTTCAAGATGGTGACCATGTTCTGGACATAGTCTAAAAGATAGGCCAACCTTCCATTTAATTAATGAGATATTCTGAAATTTCAWTTTCACTTTTCTTTCTAAGAGAAAATGGTGTTCTGAGACTTTTGACTTACCTTTTATTGTCCTTTAAAAAGATCCAGGATCTGTTGTAACATTAGACTTCATTTGATAAACATTTATTTTAACTGTAAAATAAAAACTGTAAAATTATTGTAGGATGTTTAGTTTTTATAATTTTTAAAAATATATTTTAACACGGACGGAGCCATTTTATTTACAGTGGTTTGCAAAAGTATTCATACCCCTTGAACTTTTCCATAT